CTGCTGCCACCTCCGCCGACAGCCAGAGCTCGACTCGACGCTGAGAAACGGCGGCGCTGACGCTCCCCCCAGGAAAAACTCAGACGGCCGAGGCGGCGTGAATTGCGAGGAAGTCCCAGGCGGGAGCCTTGCATCCAGGGCCACTGGCGGAGGGGGGGGACACGCGGAGGAGGAGGGGGGATGTTTCCTGTGCCCCTGGAGGCAGCACATCAGCTCTTCTGCGGTAAACGCGCGCGCGCCCCCCATTTCGGGGGGTCGGGGGGCGCGCGAAGAAGAAAGAAAGAAAAAACAAAAAACAAAAAACAATCTCAGGCTCTCGGGCCTCTCGAGGCCTGCTCAGCGACGAAACGATGAATCGACGCCGCGAACTTCCAACAAACTCGGACTCGAACTGCTCCTGACACTGCGCAATCCCAACGTCGCCGAGCCCTGCGGGTAGACCTGCGACGGCGTCCCAGGCTCGCACAGGGCCCGAATCTGACCCGTCAGCGCGTCGATCTTCTGCTCCAGCATCGGCACCTTCGTATCGATGCTGCGCTTCACCTCGTCGATATTGGCCTCGAGCGTCGGCAGCTTGGACTCGAAGCTCTTCCTCGCCCCGTCGATCTTCGTCTCCAGCATCGGCACCTTAGTATCGAAGCTGCTCCTCACCTCGCTCTTCACCTCGTCGATCTTGGCCTCCAGCGTCGGCACCTGGCTTTCGAAGCTCGTCTTCACCTCGGCCATATGCGCCGTCAGAGTTGGCACCGGGCTGTCGAAGCACGTCTTCACCTCGTCGACCTTGCCCTCCATGTCCTTCTTGAACTCCTTCATACTCTTAATGGTATGCTCCGACTGCTTCGACTGTTTCTCGACGATGTTTTTCACCTCTCCGATCTTGGCCTCGAGCGTCTGCAACGTAGACTCGAAGCTCCGCTTCACCTCGTCGATCTTGGCCTCCACCTTCGGCCCCTTCTGGTCGGCCGCCGAGCCATCGATCTTCTCGATGAGCTTCGTCGCCTTGTCCATGATCTGCCCCGTGGTACTCGTCAACGCGATCACCCCGTCAAGCTTCTGGTCTATGGACGGCCCGAGCTCGATCTGAGACGAGTTCGGGTTGCTGTCCATCTTGAAACTCTCCACGAGCGTCACCTCCGCCTCGCCCGCCCCCTGCTGCCTCGCGGCAGCCGCGGCCGCGGCCCACCGAGTGCCCGACGGGACTTCCTCAGCCGCCGCCGCCGCTTGAGCTCCTCGATGGTCGCCGCCCCCCTGCGGCTCGAGCATGGGCGCGGTGCCGACGGCCCCGCGACCTGGATGCGCGAAATTGTTGTTGTGGCGGACGCTGGACCCCACCGCGTTCATGAGCTTGCCAGGCCCATGCTTTTTGCCATAGCCGAAACAATAATACCAAACTTTCTGAGCGTGTATTTCTGACTGGGCGTGCGACTCGCACATCTCCTTGCCACCGCACGCGTAGCACTTCCATATTCCCTCATCATCGTCGTCCCTGCACACCCACGGTGATGCAATTCGCTGAGTTCCTCCGCCCTTCGTCCAAATCGCCACCGACTCTGGACAGTTCTTTGGCGACCTCGTCATGGTGGCCGGTGGCGGGCGCCGCGCGCCGCGCGCGGGTGGCTGGCGGCGGGCGCGTCGCGCCCAGTGCCGAGCTGCGGGCCCCTCGCAGCCTCGGCGAGGAACAGGCCTCGAGCCTCGAGCCAAAATATGGCTACGGAGGAGGATGCGAGGCGGAGGTGGAGGAGGGGGAACGACACCAAGTCTGCCCCGATATGATCCGCTTTCTCTGCGGGGGGATTAAGGCGCTGGGATTGCGCTCTCGCTTCAGCGCCGCGCACATTGGTTTCATGGAGGGCGGCTTGTTTTCATAATTTGGCTCAAGCTCGCGGTTTGGCTCAAGTTTCGAACCCGAGCCTGCCGACGATGATGGCGATGATGGCGGGCGTGGTGATGATGGCAACGCTGGCGGTGACAGTGGAAGGAATTTGCCGATGATGGTACTCACTGTAAAATTAAAGTAATCAAATTGCAAAAACTTACGAAATCAAAAAAAACAACAAAAATCATGTTCCTAATTCAACATCATGTTCCTATTAAAAAAAGGAACATAAATTAGGTTCCTAAAAAAAACTGCCCTTTCAGACCTCTGGGATGACGGCGATGATGATGACAATGTCGATGATGACGATGATGGTGGTGACGATGGCGCGGATGATGACAGGGGATAGGATGGTGATTTTAACGATCATGAGCACGATGGCGATGGTGATTATGACGCTGACGATGGTAATGATGACGATGACGACGACCGCGGCACCGATGACCACAGTGGTGATGATGATGTCGATAATGGTGAGCATGGCGATGATGATGAAGATGATAGCGACGATAATCAAGACGATGGCGACGACGACGGCGGCGACACCGACGATGGGGGCGATTCTGATGCCCACAAAGAGAATACATGGCGCGGCGGTAATGACGAGGTTGCTGACGATGTTCGTCATGGCCGTGGTCACGATGATGACGAAGACGATGATGTCGATGATAACTAATTGATATGGAGATGGTGATGACGACAACGGTCATGATAACGCTGGTGAAAGGGATGATAAAGACATCGGCGACAAAGACGATGGTGAATAATATTATGACGACGAGCGGAATGAGCACCGTGACGGTGCTGTCGTTCATGATGATGATGTCGACGACGATGATGGTAGCATTCGTGCTGACGCTGATGGTGATGACCGGATGTGTCGGCGATCGTGGCCGCGATGATGGCTGCGAGGGTGGCGAGGGCGATGACGAAGTGATGATGGCGACGATGGCGATTATCTTGCCCGGAAACACAAAGCACCAGAGAACGAGGCATCGGCAGGACGCCTCGTAGCCTGGAGCACGCGGTAACAGTTTGAAGGGAAGTTGGGGGACGGGGAGGAGGACCACTCCCACCGATAATCACTAGCTCGGCCTTGCGCGCGACAGCTGACCTAGCCGAAAAAACCGGCGGGCTTTCCAGCCATCGTATTCTTCGAAATTTCGGAGGAAGAATGACATGATAAGGCGAACGAGGAAGTGTGATCCCCTGCTGTAAATCAGCGCTTTGTCTCACAGAGCGCGCAGATCTCTGCGTGCACTGCTCCTGGAGCGAGGCGCTCTGCTCTGCCGCCCCTGCGAGTGCATGCGTTTCTTTCAGACTGTCGCCCAGCAGCGCGCTCGCGCGGTAGAACTCCTCCACGTTGAAGTCGCCCTCCGTGGCTTTCGCGCCCAGGCTCTCCTGCAGCTTGTTCTTGTCGCGGGCTTGCAGTTTCTGCGCGATCTCATCGCGCGCGGCCCCGACGCGCGCCGGGGGCGGGCCCCGCGCGGACGCGCCGCCGCTGCCCCTTGCCTGGGTCCACGCAGCCAGCCCAGCAGCCACCAGGAAGCGGAACGCCACGCGGAGCGCCGCTTCGATTGTGTCGACGTTGCCTTTGAAGGAGCTCGCATTCTTGCTCAAATTGCGCGGATCTTGCGACGACTGCAGCACCGACAGCAACATCTTCTTCTTCAGTCCAGCATCTGTCTTGAACTTCTCCGCCCGCAGGGGCGGCCCCGCGCGCAACTTCTTCATCGTCGGCCGCGGCCCCAGCCCCTCGGCCTCGTCGGGCCCGGGCGCAGCTTGGGTTGCTCCCGCCACTCCCTGCGCCAGCTCACCGGGCGACGTCGCCCCCGCTGCCTCTGGAGGGGTCGCCGGGACCACTCGGGGCGCGGGGATGGGCTCACGCGGTGCATTTTCGGCGCGGGGCGCTTCGATCGACTGCAAGATCGAGAAGCCCACCGCCTTGCCCCCCAACAGGTCTTTCACACCCCGGCAGAGCCTACGGGTGCCAATCCTGCACGTCGTCTTGAATACAATATGTTCTGCTTCGGTTATTTGGGGCAAGGTTGGCGATGCTGACCACAGGTTGCCATCTATGAGAACCTTATTATTTGGATCAAACTAACGGGCAGGATTGGCATTCGAAGCGGGGCCGGTCGGCAACGGAATGGCCGCCCGCCGCCGCGCCCTCGTCGGCTTCCGGCGCAATCTGCCGCAATTCCGCCATGAATCCGCCCGGGTCCCAATCCGGCATCCTGATGCACGCCGTGACGTGGCTCTCGCAGTCCCGCCCGTGCGTTGCGAGGGTCGCTCGGCCAGGGCCCACTGCGAAGAAGCCCATCGTGCTCAAGAGGATGAGGTCCACGTGCGCGGCGCGGATCTGGACCTCCGTCGCGCGTGGATTCTGCGCGAAAGCCTCGTGTCCCAGGTCTGGGCGACTTTGCGCACGGTCGTCGCGGGGCCCCCCCGCGCGCGCGCGGCTGGGCTGACAATTTTCTCGATGGGCGACTACATGGCATGAGGCATTGCTGCTTGCTTGGCTCGATTCTGCATGAATGTTCGCGCCGTCTCCCTCGCGTTGATCGCCATCCGAAAGCTGTGCGAGAACCGTTCCCCCGCGGCAGCAGCTACGTCCACGGCGGGGCGATGAATCCGTCTCCCTCCTCGGGCACAATGACGCGAGATGCCCTCGGCGCCGCGCTCGCCCGGGAGGGCCCTTGCAGGCCCGCCCAAATCTCTGGGTGATTTCTTGCGCTTGCTGTCTTGTGCTCACCCTGCCTTTGCAGCGCAGAATTGCCAAAATCGCCGCGATGCCTTTCACTGGCAAGAAGAACGCTACTCCGAGACATCCCCTGAGAAATCCCAGGGGGCCCCGCGCGTCCGAAGCGGCTGCCGGGCTCTCCAACTATCAGTCATTATGTCACTCATTCCCCCTCTTCCCCCCTCTTCCCCTTGCTCCCATCCTCGCGCCTCAGTGCGTCCTTACCTCCACCTTCCATCCACCCTTCCCTTCCCCCTCGCCCCTCTTACTTCCTCGTCCTCGTCAATGCCCCCCCCCCCGCTCCCATTTTCCCCTTGATGCCTGCGCGGGCTAGCCGCGGGACCAAGAGCACAAAGGGTTCGGGAAGTGCGGCGCTGGCCCCTAAATCTCTGGGGCGACGGCGTCCTGGTCCACGGGGTCCACGAAATCATGAGGCGCCGTGTCCTCCCCGAGGCAATTCGCGATCTCCTCGCCAGTCATCTCCTAAATCGTGCGCGGCGTCTTGCCAGCCGTCTGCAGCCAGTAGTCGATTACCTTGTCACCTATGTTCAAAGGGGGGATGAACTGGGGCGCCCTCGTCATGTCCTTCCGCGCATTCGCAGATCCACTGTCTTCGCCCGCGCCCTTCGACGCGCGCGCCTCCTCCCGCGCGTAGTCCGCAGCCGTGTTGAATTGCTTGCGGACGTGTTCCCTCGCGTCCTCGGCCCACGGCAGAAATCGCGTTCTCCGCACCTTGGAGTACCTGTTATTATTGTTATTTTCGTCCGGGCGCTCCTCCCCTCGTGCGTGCAGCGCCGATGCCGTCAGCATCACCTTCCCGATCGCGGTCGCTACATGGTCGCATTCCAAGTCGTCGAAGTAGTCTGGGTATTCCTCCGGGGGGCGCGCCACTTGAGGTGCTGGTACATCGGGTAGGATATTGTTCACAACGGCGGTGAAGTGGCCAGTCAGGAATCTCATCATGCCTGTTGGTGTGTCGGGCTTTTGTGTTTGCTCGTGCACTTCATCGGTGTGCTTCATGACCACTCCGCACAAGTGCGGGTTCCGCACCGAGAAACGGTTCTGCGTGTTCCAAGGGTGGTTCTTGTACAAATCATGATCGTGAATCTGGTTCAGATCATCGATGCCACCGCCTGGCCCGTAATCGAAGGTCTGCTGTAGCCACGCCTTCCCCTCGTGCAGCGCGAGAAACGCCCTTTCCCCTTGCGCCTGCATGAAGTTCCCGAGGCCGATGAAGGTACCCTTGTTAGAAATCGTGACTTTGGCGTGTGCTTTTGCAGGCTCTGGGTCGTTGTCTGGGTCATCCTTGTGCTTCTGGGTGGCCTCCTCGTACTTCTTCTTGGAGCGCCTCTCCCGTATCATGTCATAGAACCTAACACCTGCACGTGCAGCCAGAGAGCGGCCGATTTTCCGTCGCCAAGTTCGCCATGCTGTAGCATGAGCAGGTTGCAATGTCGGGAAAGTATACACCGTATTTGAGTTGAACTGCCCCAAACGTTGTGGCTACCAGAATCATGAGGTGGACGTAGGCACACGAAACGCGCAGAAACGTCGCGTTGCCCAGCGCCGAGGCCACCTTCCACATGAAGGGCGTCGCCCGACGCGCAGTTTCTTCGGGGAACGGGTTCTGGTTCTCCAGGGTGCGGTACAAAGTCCGGATTTCCCTTTTCGTCATTGCTTGCAACTGTTGGCGACCCGGCGTCCCGGTCGGCGACACGGCGTCCCGGCGAGCGGCGACCCGGCGACCCAGCGACCCGGCGACCCGACGACCCAACGACCCGGCGACCCGGCGACCGGGCGACCGGGCGACCCAGCGACCCAGCGACCCGACGACCGGGCGACTCGGCGACCAGTGTCCCGGCGACCCGGCGGCCCGGCGATTCGCGGCCGCCCCCCCCGCCCTTGTCCAGATCGCCCTCCAAAAATTCATGTTTGTGGCATGTTTCCTTCTTCGAATGTCAAGGGCAAGAACGGGTTCAGGAGGGGAAACGTCGATAGATCGATGACCGCTGCCTTGGCGGTAGGCTTCTGGTAGCAAGCTCAGGCGTCCACGGGCAGGGATGGGCGGTCACTGGGCGATCGAAGGTCGATGCCCCGAGCCTAACCATCCCTCAAGTTTCCCCTGCCGGGAAAGGAGCAAGGCTGCGAATCCTGGGCCTCGAGAGCGACCGTTTCGTCTTCCCGGCGGCCAACGTAACCGCCCCTGCAGGCTGGCGCACATGATGGCTGAGGGTACAAGACGCTACATACACACTAAATCGCCAGAAGCTTGTCAAGTAAGTCGGTGGATACATATGGCAATCAAAACTAATTGAAGGGTAATGTCATGGGTCACGCACACATAGGGGCCAGCAACATCACAAAGCATATTGCTTTCTGCTCATGCCCACGAAAATGCACGAATAATGTTGGACCAACACTGCGGTCCCAAGGTGTCCGCACGGAACGATGTTGCGGCGCTGATCCTTGCAATAAATGCAGTTTTCGCGCAACCTTGCGGATGCCCAAGCTTGCACAAGCAAGTGCATCATTCAAACGTCTGGCTTGTCACGTTCACCTTGCGCACGTATGAACGCGGACTGTCAAACAACTGGCGGCCTCTTTCGCCTCTGACCAATCGATTGGTTGCCGATGCTTGTTAGACAACAGCTGTAGGAATTACCCAACAGCGCGTTGGATTTCAAGTTATGCAACGGCTATTTGAATCGGGCATTACTTCGAAACTTCTCGTCCATGCTTTTGAAAGTGAATGGGGCGATGATCCGCCGACGATTGAACACACACATTTACGTAAGTTAATGATAACTGATGGTTGGAATTTGTCCACCTTACTTTGCAATATCACATTGGCCAAAAGCGCCCTTGATTGGAAAAAACGCTGTTCCTGCCGTGCGCAGTTCCTACCCGCTGTCAAGATTGGCGAAGAGATGCAGCTTTCAAAGTCGACACAATTCATGCTCAGATGCGTGGCGTGACCCTATGCGGCCACGAAGCGTGTGAGGAGTGTGCCGAAACGAGTGCGGTGGGCACATGCGAACGCAACCGCTGGGGCCGTCGGTGGGGCGACCTACGGGGCCGCGAAACGTGCGCGGGGCGTGCCAAAACGGGCGCGGTGGGCGCATGCGAACGCAGCCACTTGGGCCGTCGGCTGAGCTCACCATGGGTCCCCTTGGGACCACGAAGCGTGTGAGGTGTGTGTGTGTGCCAAACATGAGCGCGGTGGGCGCGTGCGAACGCAACCACTGGAGCTGTCGGTGGAACTCCCTATGGGGCCACGAAGCGTGTGAAGGGTGTGTCGACATTGGTGCGGTAAGCGCATGCGAACGCAGCCGCTGGGGCCTTCGGTGGAGCTGCTTCGGGGGCCACGAAGCGCGGGGTGTGCCAACATGTGTGCAGTGGGCGCATGCGAACGCAGCTACTGGGGCCGTCGTTGAAGCTCCATGTGGGGCCACGAAGAGTGTGCGGGGCGTGCCAAACATGTACTGGATGGGCGCATGCGAACGCAGCCACTGGGGCCGTCGGTGGAGCTCCCTCGGGGGCCTCGAAGCGTATGCGGGGTGTGCACACATTGGCGCAGTAGGCGCATGCGAACGCAACCACTGGAGCTGTCGGTGGAGTTCCCTCGGGGGCCACGAAACGTGTAAGGGGTGTGCCGACATGGGTGCGGTGGGCGCATGCGAACGCAACCGCTGGTGCCTTCGGTGGAGCTACCTCGGGGGCCACGAAACGTGTGAGGGGTGTGCCCGACATGGGTGCGGTGGGCGCATGCGAACGCAGCCACTCTGGCCCTCGGTGGAGCTGCCTATGGGGGCACGAAACGTGTGAGGGATGTACCGACATGGGTGCGGTGGATGCATGCGAACGCAGTCACTCGGGGTTTCGGTGAATCTCCCTGTGGGGCAACGAAACGCAGTACTGGGTGGGGGAAACGCAGGGTGGAGGGAGGATGGGGAGGAGGAGGAAGGAGTGAGGAAGGAACGTGGGGCGCTCTCTCGTCAGAACGAGGACCCAACACCACAGGATGGCCGGGAGTGAAGTAGGAAGGCGGGTATAAAGCAGATCGGGGTCGGGCCCTCCTAGAGAATGACGGAACCCAGCAAAGGTTCATCGATGTCTGAAGTAGGAAAACGCTCGAAGCATACTGGGATCTGGAGCTCCAGCAATGCCTGCTCTCACCTACGGGCACGTTCGAGACCAGGTCCGGGCGCCGGGGCCCGTAGCACTGAGCGTTCCAGCTGCACGCGCACGCCCTCCCCGTGGCGCGCCCTCGACGCTCTCCCCGTTGGCGTAGACGTTGAACTGGCTGCCTGGCCACAGAGGGGTACGAGTGGGCGCTCACCGCGGGTGATGGGCGAGGCACGAGCAGAGACTGCGGGCAACAGCTATGTCCATATCCAGGGCGTCTTGGACGTTCGTGGAAGGGGCGCCGCCAGGCCGAGACGCACTGGATATGGATACAAATTCGAGCCTCTGGTAGGGGCCTGATCTCTATCCAGATCCAGTGATCCTGGGTTTCTGGGGAAGGGAGCCCGAGAGTAGTAGGGGCCTGATTTTTATCCACATCCGGTGCTCCTCGGTGTTCCTGGGGGAGGGGAGCCCGCAACCCCAAACTGCAGTAGATATGGACAACATTTCTGCCCGCAGAGGCGGACGCGTGCGGATGGTGCAGGTGCCGGAGCGCGGGTCGGCGTCAAGAGAGCTCCGCGAGCGCCCTGGGCCGAGGGCGCAGCCGCCGCAGGGGCAGCGGCACAGGCACGCGGTGGGCGGGCAGAGGGGAGGGAGGGCTCCGCGGGGGAGCCTTCGCGACCCCTGGCACCCACCAATGGCAAAAAGCCATGCAGAGGACGGGGCGGCGACAGATGCTCAGACTGCGAGGGCGGAGGAGGAGGAGGAGGAGGGCGAGGAGGAGGGAGGAGACAGAACAACGCAGCTTCCCAACGATACTGCGGGGAGACAGCACCCGCGGGGCGAGCAAGAGGAATCACGTCTTAAATCCAGTCTGACACAAGACATGGTGGAAAGCTTAGGCTTGGCCTTGAAAGTCTCGTCTCAGCATGGTCGGCGGAATCTGCTTGGCATGGACAACCATGAGGCATCAGATCTCAAGACTGATGTCAAGAACGATACCGCGCCACCAACCACGAACAAGAACAAACAAACACTCCGACAACAATGCTGCGAGAGTGGCGCAGACCGTCAAACCACACACGAAGCTCAAGACACTATCAGAACAACCTTACGCGCATCCGTGGACTCACACATGGCCACCACCCGAACGCCGTGTCATTGACAACCCACAGCGGGTCAGATGCAGCTATGAGAACATACATGGCTGAATACTTACGTGATGGATGGATGCAGGCTGCACACGACCTATCAACATGAAATCGGGCATGGGAGGTGCGCAATGGGGGATCTATGTGTGCGGCGGCGCCGCCCGACTCCGGTGACATGTTGCAGCGGCAGCGGACCGGTGGCGGCACAAGGACACAGATGCGAACGGCAGAAAGTTATTGGTCCAGCAAGGGACTTCTGCGCCTTCCCTGAGTGTCCTCCAGCTCCTGCACGGGGCCGCCAGTGACAACGATTCCCAGGCGAATAACTAGCATGATCGTTCTATCTGTCGAATCCGCTTCCTACTGCCCCAGCTGCCATACTCTGCTATGCGAAAGAAACACCGCCCGTCTCTATGTGCAACATTATACTACACCCTGCTACCGCAACAATGGGCATATCCCTTAAGCGCCGCACAAAATAACACACAGTACGCAAACGACGCCATAACATCCACGAATGTCTCTGCCTCTGCCGGGGTTTCTGACATGGCTGCCTGCCCTGAGACGAGGCTGGGAATAGACATTGACGGCGTGCGTGCTTGCAACAGGACTACACAGGCACTGACGACGCGCGTCGGTGCAAGCGGTCATACAAGTTGTCCATGTCGCCAGGAGGGGGGGAGTTGGAGGAGGAGGAGGCGGAGAAGGAGAAGGAGGAGCTCCAGAGGGAACGAAAAAAAACGTCGTGGGCGCTCCGTCGCCCGCCCCCCGCACCCGCCCGCGACGCGCCCCGCTGCGCGACCCGGCCACGAGGCCGGCCCGCGATCCACAGCGGCGTGGGGGAACACACGCAGGCCAAGATCGGGGGGGGGCGCAGGCACGGATTATCGGGTCGGGCGAAAGGCGAGGATACCAAAGGGGGGGGTTGAGAATCAGCTCACGCAGCTGATTGTCCCAGCGCCTCCCGGCGCCGGAGGCGGCTATGTATCGAGGAATGGGCCCCTCGGTGGGGCCGAAACCAGCTGCATGCAGCAAATTTCGTAACCCCTCCTTTCCCAATCCCCCCCTTTCGTCCGGCCCGAGATTAGCGATCCATGGACTTGGCGCGGGGTCGCCAGATCAATGGATCGGGGGACGCGCCCTCCCCCAGCATGCGGCTGGTGCCGCCTCGCTCGGCGGCGGAACTCTGCGATGCCCTATGGCAATGAGACCCGACGCTAATCCACGCCCCCTCGATCCATGGTTGCGATCGCCTGACAACAGCTCGGCCAAGTGCTCGACCAACGTTTGGCCACACAGACGTAGGCGCTTCCACAAGGCAAGGGGGGCGGCGGCGGCTCGCCGTAGGCGTCTTCAATCACGTCCCCCTTCCGCGGGCTCCCCTCATCTTCTCTCGCCCTCCCGGGCTGGAGCAGGAGGACGAGAATGAGCAGGAGAGTCATCGCTAACGATGACAATGAGCAAAAAAGAGAGAAAAAGAGAGAGAGCAAGAACAGGATGAGGAGCGGAAGCGCAGGATCAAGAGAGAGGTGTGACGAAGGGTCCGACGAGGCGGAGAAACAGGAGAGAAGGCCCGGATGATGAGGGGTGAGACCGAGAAGAATCGCTCGAGACAACGGATGCTCTCCCCCTTGCATTTCTAGCTCCATGGGGCTTCCCGGAGGCTTCCGGTCGCAGCGGCTGGCCTCACCGGGATCAGCCTCGAACCATGGGTCATGATTCGGCGGTGGACAAACCTCCCTTCAATGAAAACGGCCTGGGACCGAAACCGATGGACCTGGACCCGCAAAAATGACGGCCGCGACGCCCTCGCGCCAACCGAAAGCGGCCAATTCCTGAATCGACGTGTCAGGGTAGGAGGTCTTTCCACCCCCGAATGATGGACCCCAAGGAGGGGCTCGGGAATCGGGGCGGAGCGGACTCGGGCGGGGCGGGAGGGCCGCCGCTGCCTCAGCTGGCCCTCCTCGGAGCGAGGGAGGGGGAGGCAGGGGAAGGGAGGCGAGGAGGCGAGGGGGAGGCGATGGGGAGGCGAGGAGGCGAGGGGGAGGCGTGGGGGAGGCGAGGAGGCGAGGGGGAGGCGTGGGGGAGGCGGATTCGGGCGGGGCGAGGCGAGCCGCCGTTGCCTCAACTGGCTCTCCTCAGAGCGAGGGAGGAGGAGGGCTGACGAAGCAGAGCTGGGATGGCGAGGACAGGTCGAGTTGCCAACCGGGAGCATGAGAAAGAGGAAGCAGGGGGACGAGGAGGAGGCCAGAGGAGAGACATCCTCCTTCGGCAGGGCCATGCCGAGAAGGGACTTGGAGACGTTCATGCTCCTGTTAGGGACGGCCGTCGCAACGCCGCTGTCGTCTTCCGCACAAGGTCCGAAGAGGAGAGGCCCAGCAGGGAGGCCAGAGTCGACGGACGGCGGGGGGTAGAGAAAGGACGAGTAGGTGGAGGACGCTGAGGACGAAGCAGAGGAGGGTGGCGCGGGGGAGCAGGGGTGGGAAGTTTGACTGGAAGCGGGCATTGCGAACTCTGGTTTCCACTTGCTCAACAGGACTGCCCAGTGGGGCTGAAATGAAAGCATAACCCCGAGGACATAGGAAACTCCCAAAAAGAGCCACATGAACACAGCCTGGCGCGGGGGTGTTGGCGTTGTCCTCGCTATGCCGCACGAGCATAATTAGATGTCATTGGTACCGACCTACGAAGCGGTGATGGGCCAGACGAGAGTTGAAGATAAAGAGATACAGCAACGAAGAATCAGAAAGGCCATGTAGCTTAGTTTACGCTAGGGCATCAAAGAGGGCGCCAAAGTGGCGACTTCTGGGGTTCAAGACGGGGGGCGCTAATAAGGCCCCCCCCTTTGGATCGAACTCTTCCAAGCTGATCCCAAGACGGCCTGTTACGCTCGCGAAACTCCCGGGGCAGCAGGGCATAAGAGAACGCGCCCGCGACAGCTCGAAACACCAAATTCGTCGTCGTCGTCGTCGTCGGAGGAGGAGGAGGAAGACGAGGAGGAGGAGGAAAACGCCGGCACTGCAGCGCAATGCAGGCACCCGGGGCTCTGCCTGCAGCCAGCGCGGGCAAGGGCCCTCACCCGGAGCGCGGCCATGCGTACGGCCCCCGAGGCCCCCAAACAGGGCCACAAGAAGGCCCCAAGACCAAGACGCCCTAAGAGTGCGGCCAGTACATATATCCATATCCAGAGCGTCTTGGACTTTTCGGGAAGAGGTGCCGCAACGCCGAGGGCCGAACTGGATATGGATAAAATCAAGCCTCTTGGGGCCAGATTTTTATCCATATCCAGTGCGTCTACGGTTTCTGGGGAAGAGAGCCCAAGACTCCAAGACGCACTGGATGTGGATATAACTATTGCCCGTATGAGAGGCCACCAAGAGCCTCCCAGGATGCATCCCGAGTGACTCCGAGAGGCAGCCAACATGTCTCCAGTTCACAGAGGCTCCAGGCGGTATCCAAATTATGCCACGCTCCCCCCAAAAAGGGCAGCTCCCCTAGGCATCGTTCCTGGATGGGCTGGTGGTGATACGCGAAGTGTTAAGCATCTGGCAATTGGATCGAATCAGAGTATGCGTCGGAACGGCCTGCATCGGCACGGAGTCGAAAATATGGGGCCGCACTGGACACTCGGAACATGGCAGAAGAACAGGACCCCAGTCGGTCAAGAGCGCGTTTCTTTATGTTCGGCGATGACGGGCGTCATGGGGGGGGGGGGGGGCGAGGGGGGGTATGACGTAACGCCCCCCCCGCCGTGTGGTTCCTGCACCGCAGCCGCGCCCGCGCGCGCGACGCGACGACCGACGACCGACGAGCGACGAGCGACGGCGACGACGACGCGAGCAGCACGTAGGTGGCGATTTACGCCATTGCGCCTTTGTACACCACAACGCTCGCGTGCACCACAACGCGCGTGTATACCACTGCGCCTGCGTATACCGCAACAACAACCGTGTGCAACGCAGTGCCCGTGTACACCACAATGCTTGTGTACACTACAGCGCCGGTGTACACGTGTACACCGCAGCTACCATGTGCAACGCAGCGCCAATGTACACCACAATGCTTGCGTGCACCGCAGCGCCTGTGCACGCCACAGCGCGTGTCTACACCACAACATCCGCGTGCCACGTAACGCTGGTGTGCACCACAATGCCTGCGTGCATAGGACAGGTTGAAGGAGCATGTACGTGAGGATCTGCTGCGGAATGCGACGTTCTTCCCTCCTCCATCCTCCTCCACCTCCACCCCCTCGTCTTCCTCCTCCTCCTCCTCTTCCTTACCCCCTGTCGTGCGGGTTGGCGCTACCGCTGAATGGTCTATTGAATCGGTCCACTTGGTTCACGGACGGCCAATGTGGCTGGAGCCTCCTGGACGCAGATGGGAAGAGTTAGGGTGATGCGGGCGGACTCGGGAGGACTCGTAGATTCCAGCGGCGCTCCGTTGTCCACAAGGATGATGTTGCATTGTTTTCTGAGGAATCCACAAATGTTCCATTTTGTCGTAAGGATGCGTAAAACAAAACATTCTACATACAACAAGGGTGCTGTGTTGCACACGGTTCCTGTGGTGCACACAGGCGCCGTGGTGCACACAGGCGCTGCAATGCACGCAGGCATTGTGGTGTACACTGGTGCTGTCTTGCACACGGCTGATGTGGTGTACGCAAACGCTGCGGCGTGCCCAAGAGCTGTTGTAACCGCAAGCACGGTGGCACAAACTGACGCTGTGTTGTACGTGGCTGCTGTGGTGTACATAATTAGGCGGTGTGGTGTACACAGGCGCTGTGGCGCACGCAGGCACAGTGGTGTAGACAGGCGCTGTGGTGCAAATCGCCACCTACATGCTGGCGCTATCCGTCCTCTGCCATTCCTAAGCATTCCCAGACTCCGCCGGCAAGAAACGTGACGACATCGACCCCCCCCTAGATGATTGCCGCCATCGGCCCGGAATAAAAAACAGGCTTCAGCCGCGTCCGCGCGCACGACGACTATGAGCAACGAGCGACAAGCCAAGAGCGACGACGACGACGACGACGACGACGACTGCGGACCAGACTCCCTTGCAGATTCCTACGCGGACACCTACGCGGATCCCAAAACGCACGGCGGCAGTGTCTGGAGCGCTCTGGGGGGGGGAGCGTTGCGTCATAGGGGGGAGGAGCGGGGGCCATAACGCCCGTCATGCCCCTAGCAAGAAAGAAACGGGCTCCATCAAAAACGGACACCGGATCGGAAGTACCATATCGGAACTGACCCGGACTAGCGCTTGCCTGAGATTCAGGAAAGAAGAAGAGAAAACATAAACATACACGTTTGGAGGTTCCCCCCGATTGCTCGGATCCGCGCTGAACACTCCTCCCCAACGCGCGGAGCGCGCCAGGGTCGTCGCCAGAGGCGCCGCCATGGGGCCCAACGCCGATCCGGTAAGCTCGCGCGGACGTCAGAAAGTGTGTTCATGCAATTTACCCTTATCCAGTGGAAGGAAGCCACCCCATCCTCCATACCCCCTTACCCCATTATCCGGCGTTAATGCAATTTACCCTTGCCCTCCTCCATCCTCCTCCGCTTCCTCATCCTCCTCTTCCGCCTGCTCCTCCTCCTTCGTCCCTCCACGTCCTCTCCACCCCTCCTCCTCCTCCTCCTCCTCCTCCTCCTCCTCCTCCTCCTCCTCCTCCTCCTTCCCACCCTCCGAAATGAAAGCAGCAGGGTAACTTTGCCCTAGCTGCTGATAAAAACAGCGCGACGCGCTGTTGAAACCTTGCGAGGCCCTCGGGCCGCAGGAGCCCCAACCCTCTATCTCCTCCGCCCCACCCTCTTCCTCCTCTTCCTCCTCCTCCTGCTCCTCCTCCTCCTCCTGCTCGTTCTCCTCCCCTTCCTTTTATCCTCTTCCTCCTTCAGCTCATTCTCCCCTCCTCCTCCTCTTCCTCTTCCTCCTCCTCCTCCTTCGTCCATTTCCGCCCCACCCACCTCCTCATCCTTCTCCGCTTCCTCCTCCTCCTGCTCCTTCCTCCTCCGCCTCTCCTCCTCTCCTCCTCCTCCTCCTCCTCCTCCTCCTCCATCTCCGCCTTCTCCTCCTCCTCTCCTCCTCCACGTTTCCTCCTCCTCCTCCTCCTCCTCCTCCTCCTCCGCCTCCACCTCCTCCTCCTCCTCCTCCTGCTTCTCCTCCTCCCCCTCCTGCCTCCTGCCCGAGCCGTGCTCCTGTCCACGACGGCCGCGGCCTCCCTGGAGATGCCGCTGCCCGCGAACGGCCAGCGGTCGCCGTCGGCGTCGGGCGGGCACGACCGGCAGGCCTCCGCCGCCCCGCCGCCGCCCCCAGACACTGGGGCAGAGCCTCTCGAGGACCCATCTGGGGAGGCGGTGGCCGCCTCAGACGCGCCCGGCTGCCTGCAAGAAGGCTTCTCGCTCACTCACCTGCTCGTGGGGGTCGGACTTCGGGGGGGTAAGGGTGAGCGAGGGGACACCCAAGGGGAGTCCACCACATCGGAGAGAAGTGCGGGCCTCGGCATAATCATTTCCCAAGGAGGGGCCCGAGACAGAAACCAAGGAACCACTGCCTACTTGTGGAGACGAGCACGGCCCCGAACGAAGAACATCTGTAAGGAACTGGGCCAGCCTTTACCTGACCCCCAAATGGCTGACCCCCACTTATGCTGCTTCAAACGATCCACACACATACACACACACACACACACACACACACACACACACACACACACACACACTTTTTTCGTCAGCGGCGAGTAGGCGAACTCCGCTCCAGCGAGCAGCCAGAAGATCCCCAACACACCCAGCAGCGCGAGGCACCAGCACGCTGTGGGCCACGCGGCCGCGGTAGGCAGCCGTCACCCGTCGATGCCACGAGGCGGGATACCGGGGGAGCACCCGCACCCTCGGGGGCCTGGCGGCCGCGGCATGCAGGGCGCGCGAGTTGGGTCCGGGAGCTCGCTTCTCAGTTTTCCAGAATCTGGAAAACTGGCGGCCCCAAACTGTCGGGTGGGGAATCCAACCTGCCGGGTGGGGCATCCCTGTGATAGCAGAGCAAAGACGGCGTACACATACACTTCTGGTGCTCCGCGCAGATCTCTTGGCTCCGTGCTCGAGCCCCCTCCCGGGCGCGCGGAGCGCGCCCGGGGCGGCGCCAGAGGCGCCGCCAGGGGGCCCCAGCGCGGATCCAAGACAGCGCAGAGCACCACAAGTTACAAATTTATGCTTCTGCCGCTTGCCGCTCTTCGCTCGGACCCTCTCGCCGACCCCCGTCGAGGGCGAGGCCGTCGCCTGGGAGCGCCGCGCGCAGGAAGCACGCTTCCTGCGCCGCGAGCCGCCCCCTCCCCTGTCCCCACCTCGGCTCTGCGAGGGGCCTGGCCTGCGCTGGGCCTCGGGGGGGGGGTTGGGGAGCGGGAGCTGGCGGCCGCCCCCAGCAGGGGCGCCGAGCTCTCTCTTTCTATATATACACCGACGCTCTCTCTTCGGCCCTGCAGTCTGCCCAGGGGAGTGGGCCCTGGTTTTGGGTGACCTAAAAGGGGGTCCAGCTGCAAGGGGGTGGTGCAATAGATTTGAGGCAATGGTCTTGCAAATGTATTGCGCCAAAGAATTGTAATGCATTGCATGGCAAGTAATGTATTGCACGCGAAAACGCAGCAATACATCTGCGCCCCGAATTGTATTTCACGCCCCTAATGTATTGCAACCCCACAAATCTATTGCACCAAATCTATTGCACCACCCCCTTGTCGCTGGACCCCCCTTTGGGTCAACCCGACTAGTGTGCAGTCAGCCCGTACTGTGAAGGCGCAGGAGAGGGAGGCAAGGGCCTCGGAGGGCCGCTGCGAAGCTTCTCAAGCGGGGCGCGGCCAGCGACAGTGGCCGAGGGTGAACCGAGGAGGCAAGGAGGAAAGGAGACCATCGGGAAGGTTGCCCATCCCTACTATGCGGGCTGACTGTATACGGGACCCTGGTGTATACATTGTTCGCCGTTACCCGGGAACCGGATCAAAAAAGAACACGCCACGCCACCACGACGTCGACCCCGACCCTCAAAAAGGTCCTGGGACTTGAAAAAAACAACGCGCCACTGGTAATGTTAGGTCGGGTATGTCCTCCCACAGGCGGATTCAGAAGGAACATAAGTGAATCAAAACAAATACAATTACGCATCGCCCCCATACTATGGTTGGACTACTCTTGAACATTCCTCCTGTAGAGGGCCGACGTAATGGTAATGTACATGTTCCAGATTCCGACCAACAGCAACCTTGCTAGACCCCTCGGGGCGTCATCGGGGAAACGGCAGCGCGGGTGCTGCCCCGGGCGCGTCCCTGGCCCCGGGTGCCCCCGAAGATCTCCCCGAGAGACCCCCCTCACGGCCTCCAGAGCCCCCCCCCCTCACGAGACCTAGAGGAGGCCCCACCGAGGGGCCGAAACGGGCGGGACAAACGGGAGACCAAGTGGTCCAGGTACACCGCCGGCAACCCCGGACGGCAGTACACCGACGGCACGCCTCCCCCGACCTCTCCTGGGGCGCCTCCCGGCGAAAGCTTTTGCGGTGCGAATCCGGCCGTGGCGACGAGGGCCCTCCACTGGCCGTCGCTCGGGCGCCCATTCCCCGTGTTTTTTGTCGGTGTCGTGCGTGGCTTGCTCGCCAGGTGATCCAGGATGCTCCTCGACGGTCCTCGCCGAAGGACGCCCGAGCGAGGCCAAGTCCAGGACGAGCAGCGGCACCTGCACCTCCCGGAGCCACAGGAGCGAGTCCCGAGGGCCCATGGAGGCCCACAGAGGGAGGCGGGGCCCGTGCCCGAGGGCCGTCCCCCGGGGCCGCCGTCTCCACTGGGTCGCTGTGGATGGTCCCAGGTCAGACGCCCCCCAAGAGGCGGAGGAGGGGGAGGGTGGGAGGGGGAGGGGGGAGGGGGAGGGGGAGGGGGGAGGGGAGGGGGAGGAGGAGGAGGGAGGAGGAGGGGAGGAGGAGAGGAGGAGGAGGAGGAGGAGGAGGAGGAGGAGGAGGAGGAGGAGGAGGAGGAGGAGGAGGAGGGAGGGGGAGGAAGAGGAGGATCAGGAGGAGGAGGAGGAGAAGGAAGAGAAGGAGAACGAGAGAACCTCCTGGACCCCGCCCCCTCAGAACCTCGACCGCTTCATGGCGAACACTCTCTTCCTCTGAATCTTGGAGGGTCCCCCAGCCCCCTGGCTCCATGCTCGTCTTCCCCCCTGTCCGACCCGAGAAGTCCTCGTGGTCTGGCGTCCGGGTTGCAGATGCGGTCCCCGATGAAGCTTGGGACGATTCGCGCCCTCTGGGAAGCACCTCGCCGACACGCAGCTGCTGGAAAACACCCCCGAAGCTGGACACCCGCCGAAGACCAATTGGGGGGCACCCGAACTATTCGGGATTGACCTGGTTTGGGTAGGGCCCCGTTCGGGGTCCCAACATGTGATCCTGGAACACCGTGGAACATGGATTCAGGATAAATCCTGTTTCACGAACGTGCTGGGCAAGCTCTACATTCGGGGATGGACAGACCCCCCTTTAGTAAAACGTGGTTTAGTGAGAACGACCTGAGGCCCAAACCTGGCGGGCGCAAGCCTGGAAAATAACGGCTACGGCGCCCTCTCGAGAACCGAGAACGGACAATTCACTAATCGACGTGTCACTGTTGGGGGTTCTGTCCACCCCCGATACATGGGGCAGAATGCCGTCAAGGAGAACTCGGGCTTAGCGCGATTAGCAAAACCATATACATTAACGTTTGGAGGTCCGCGCGGGTTTCTAGGATCAGACCCCCCTCCCTGGAGCGTGAAGTGCGCCATGGGCAGCGCCAAAGGAGGACCCAACGCTGGTTTGAGAAAATCCGCTCGGAACTCAGACAAATCATGTACAGTAATTGTTTTGTTCCTCGATGAAAGCTTGGGCTTCTGAGATTTGATACGCAGTTTTTAATGGCGATAACCTGGGTTACTTGGTGGGGGTGGGGGTGTGGAGGGGAAAAAAAACCGATAACCTAACCAATTCCCTTTGGTCAACCTCTCGTGTACCCGCGCGCACAAGCACTGCATGCGCTCTTCAGGTTACCTGGGGGGGCCAGGCGGGCCCGATAACCATGGTCGCTGGACCCCCAAAACAGTCTCCAACTTCCGAGTTGGCGTTCAGCCCGAGATCCGGGAACAAATGATGGAACAAAAAACTCTCGGAGGTTCGGGCGCATTTCTTGGATACGCACTGGGGCCCCCTCCCTGGCACGCGGAGCGCGCCAAGCGCCGTCAGGGAGCCTCCCCACCGCGGATCTGAGAAATCCCCGCGGAGCAAGGAGCACTTCTGTGCATGCTGCATGCAGCTTGTTATACTTCGATAATCGCCGGACCCTACAATTATGTCGGGCCTGTCCCCCTACAGGGGGATTCTCGACGAAAAATCAAAAATTCCACCAAACTGATCCAAAAATGGTAAACAAAAATAGTCTGGGGACTATTGTTTGAATATTGTTTGACCTTTTGGGGGTATTTTTGGGGGTATTCTTTTATTTTTCGTCGAAAATCCCCCTGTGGGGGGACACGCCCGACATAACCCTGGCAAAAAACAGCCCCTGACCTCCGAGCTGGCGTCCACAGACGGAGAGCCGACGACAGCCCTGGGCCCGCCGCCGCGAGAGGGGGGCGGCAGGTGGCACAGATGAGGAGGAGGAGGAGGAGGAGGAGGAGGAGGAGGAGGAGGAGGGAGGAGGGGGGAGGAGGGGAGGGGGAGGAGGAGGAGAAGGAGGAGGAGGAGGAGGAGAGGAGGAGGAGAGGAGGAGGAGGAGGGAGGAGAACGACGATGAAGATGAGGAGGAGCCACGTGCTCCTACCCGCCGCCGGCGGTCCGGCGCCCCCGCCGCTCCCCTCGGGGGCCGCCCCCGCGGACGTGCACCGGCCGCTTGCCCTTCCAGCCCGTCCCCGCCCTTCTGCCCGTCCTTCTCCCTTCCCTCCTCCTCTCCTCCCAATCCCTTCCTCTTCTCTTCCCTTCCCCTCTCCTTGCCTTCCCTTCTCCTTTTCTTCCCTTCCCTTCCCTCCCAATCCCTTCCCTTTGTTCCCCATTCCCTTCTCTTCTCCTCCCGGTCCCGTCTACGTCCCCCTTCTCTTCCCTGCTCCTCCTGCGCGGTCCTCCCGTGAACCGGGCGGCCGCAGGTTCTTCATCTCCAGTGCCGCGAAGGTCTTTGTTCTTCGTCGACGTGGTCGTCGTCGACTCCGTCGTCGTCGTCGTCGTCGTCGTCGTCGTCGTCGTCGTCGTCGACTCCGTCGTCGTCGTCGTCGTCGTCGTCGTCGTCGTCGTCGTCGTCGTCGTCGTCGTCGTCGTCGTCGTCGTCCCCCCCTGGGAGCGGGCGGAGCTGCTGGGCCGCGGCTGCAGCGGCAATGCCGGTGGGCCCGCGGCAGCGGGCGCGTGATGCCCGGGGGCGGCGTGCAGTGCACCTGGCGGCCGCCAGCGGAGCAGGGAGCGGGGGCGGGAGCGGAGGAGGAGGAGGCGGAGGAGGAGGAGGAGGAGGAGGAGGAGGAGGAGGAGGAGGAGGAGGGGGAGGGGCGAGGGGAGGAGGGACTGGACTGGACTGGAACTCTGGGGATCCAACGGGTCACTCAAGCAGCCGAACCCGACTTCGCAAGCGCAACGCTGCCGAGCATTCGCAATGGCTCTGAGACGCACTGTGCGCCACCACCTGACACCTTGCCCAGCGCCGCCCTCTGCAGAGAAGGCCCTGGCCACACAAACCAGCACTCGGGCACGCAGCCCTGCTTGGTGGGCCAGTGGAGGAGGAAGGGGGAGGAGAAGAGGAGGGGGCGAAGGAGGAAAGGGGAGAACGACGCAGGCAGAGTGAAGAACACCGCTTTGACCACTACAGCATACCACGTGGTCCTCCTGGTCAGATGGGAGGGGAGGAGGGAGGGAGAGGAGGAGAAGAGAGGAGGGGGGGGCAGAGGAGACGAAAGGAGGGGGATGGCCCAGGGATGGGGAGGGAGAGGAGGAGGACCTGGCGAGGCTGCCCTGGCCTGCGCACAAGCAGCGGCGCTAGCACGAACTGTCGCGAGGTAAGGCGGCCAGCGCGAGATCGGACCTGGGCCCCACCCCCTGGCGCACGAGCCCCCGCGAGAGACCGGGGGAGCGGCCGGGGCCGAGGAGGGCCTGGGTGAGCACATCGGGGAGACGGGGTGGGAGTGAGGAGGGGCCAGGGAGCGTTGGGCGTCGCTTCATGCGGCGGCGATACGTTTGGGGGGGGACCACAAGATCCTGGCGTTGCATGTTTTCCATAACGCGCGTTTTAGCCCCGCGGGCCCCGGGACCCTCACAGATCGATCAGGCTGGAAAACTGACGCCGAAAGATCGGGTCTGGGGTTCCAATCGTGTTTTGTTTTGCGATGTTGCAACTGTTCCGCAACGTCGGATCGATCTCAGGTGAGACAGGTGCATTTCTCGGGCCCTGAAAGCCCCCCTCTGGGCCCTGAAACCCTAAAGGGCCCCATTTAGGGGCCCTCAAGGGAGCCTTTCCTGCAGCCCTCGCAGCCCCCCCACACGCACTTCTCTGTAGCCTAAAAACTGGATTGCGGAGCATAGCGGAGCACCAGATGGCTTCCCAGAAGGCCGTCCAACGGCCTCTCGAGCGAGCTCTGGAGCTCCTGGGAGGAGCTTCCGAAGGAGCTTTCGGAGAGCTTGCGTGCAGACAAATACGCTTAGAAAAGGTCTGCCGGGACACGCTGCAACTTCAGGTGGACCGCGTTGGGGATTTTCACGGAAGCCGGATCGAGCTTTGGGGCTACCCTATGGTGCTTGCATCTAGTTCTGCAACCCTACAGCTCTCCAAGGAGCTATCCTGGAATGTATCACCCCCCCCTGAAGCGACGCCCAAGAGCGGCAGGCACAGAAACTGTCGGAGGGCCTCGCGAATTTGGCCTCGCGGCCTCGCGGTCCAAGGTTAGATGCTCATTCCGGGTACCTGTTTGGAGCCCATCGCTCCGCTCGCGCGTCGAAGCTGCGTCGAACGTCAGGCGACCAGAGCTGACCCTGAATCGAACCTGAGTCGAACCTGAATCGAAATTGAGGTGAACTTGGGTCAGACGGGAATCGAACCTGAGTCGAACTAGAATCGAACTGGACATGAACTGGAATCGACCTGGATCCGATAGGTTTCAGTCGGACATCTCCCTCTACAGGAGGAGTATTCAAAACAAATCAGGAATAATCGATGATTCGATTTTTGTTTGATGTTTTGGACATGTCTTGACTATTTCCCCACATCCAAATCGGGGTTATTGTTTCTCTGGACACCCCGCGCAGGAACCAGCACACAAACTACATCATCACCGACTCACTCACCCACACATGTACTATCACCGCATCATCAGCAACATAAGTAACATCATTACCAACACTCACTCACTCACTCACTCAGTCACTTCGACTCACTCCTTCACTCATCAGCATCGCAAGTACCATCGTCATCACTCACACACACACACTCTCACGCTCACATTCGCTCACACACTGACCATCCTGATCGCTTTGACCATCACTCGATCGCACACCCACTCGCCCACTCACTCATCAGTTGCATCATCCTCATCACCCTCACACATTCAGTCATTTACTCCCCCACTCACTCACCGACTCATTCGCTAGCTTGAATCTGGGGGGAATATCCGGCGGGAGGCTCGTCTGTGAGTGAATTGCGAGGACCTCTCGGGCGGGAACCCTCTCTCTATGGGGCCCGCACCTCATGTTTTTAATCCGAACGGGTCATCCTCGAACCTGTAACTGTCGTCACGCTTGGGCTTCTGAGGCCTGACTATGGGGGAAGCATCAGGCGGGAACCTCGTCGGCGAGTGAACTTGCGAGGAGCTCTCAGGCGGGAGCCCCCTCCCTATGGGGCCCGCACTTGATGTTTTGAATCCGAGCGGGGAATCCTCGAACCTGTAACTGTCGTCATTTTTGGGCTTCGCAAGCCTGAATATGGAGGGAATATCGGGCGGGAGCCTCGTCTGTGAGTGAACTGTACGGAAGGTTCAGGCGGGAGCCCCCTCCCCATGGGGCCCGCGTTCATTTTTTGAATCCGAGCGGGTCATCCTCGAACCTGTAACTGTCGTCACTGTTGCGCTCCTGAGGCCTGAATACAAGGGAAATATCAGGCGGGAGCCTCGTCTGTGTGTGGACTGTAGGGAAGTCTTCAAGGGGACCCCCCTCCCTATGGGGCCCGCGCCTCATATTTGTAATCTGACCGGGTCATCCTCAACCCTGTAAGCGTCGTCACTTTGAATCTCCCGAGGCCTGAATATGGAGGAAAAAATCAGGCGGGGGGCCTCGTCTGTGTCTGAACGACCGCGCGACGCGGCCATTCGAGAATGCGCCCGCGCTGGCCGAAGCGGCGACGGCGTCGAGGAAAATCGACGAACGCGCTCTTGCAATAGAGAGGAGAGGAGGTGGTGGGTGACGAAACAAGCAGGAGGGCGAGGCAAGGGCAACGCGGGGAGCGGGTGAGGGCCCTGCGCCAAGGCGAAGATGAGAATGACGCAGAGAAGACATACAAGGCGCCGCACTCACGAATCGCGAGGGCGACAGTGAAGGCTATTTCCAGATTGGCCGAAAGGATTTTCATGTGGGGCCTCTCCGTCGAAGTGATTTCTATATTCGTCCTCCAAAATCCGCCGGGAGGAGGACACGCCCGACCTGACGTTAGGTGGGCCCCCGGAGGGTCCCATCCCTCGTCGCTCGAGGGGTCGACGGCGGGCCCCCCGCGGGCGACCGGGGGGGCGGTGGCCAAGGGAGGTGGCCCGCGGGTGGCGAGGGCCATGGGCGGGCACCTCGGACCGGCGGCGAGAGACGCGAGGCGGGGATTTATCCACGTCCACCGCCTGGGAAACGACGCCCTCGTGCCCCAGCGGGCGGTGGATATGGATATATGTTGGCCCCCGGGGCCCGAGCATATCCATATCCACTGCCTGCGAATTCCCCGAACATTGATCCTCCGGGCGGTGGTCATGTGTAGATTCCCGCCTGGGAAGAAAGGGCGGGGATGTGGAATCGGCGAGTGGGCGAGGGCTGGCAAATCCGTGGCTGCTAGAGCGATCTTCCTGGAAGAAGCAAACAGTAAGGCCTGGAATAGGACTCAACGAACTGAATAGCGAACGGGCTGCTTCCCGGAAGGGAAAAACAAATTCCCAGAGTTCCGTTTAAGCAGCCACGGGTATGCAAGCCTTCGCCTGGCTTTTGAAAGAAGGAGAAGGCCTTCTCAGAGGGCTGGGAAATCCCCCGCGCCTTCTGAAAATTCTTTGGGCCTTCCCCGGAGGCACGGATAACTTCGCAGACCGCGCGAGGGCTTCCGAGAAGTCCCGCCGCCTTCTGGGAAGGCCTTCCCCCTCTCACTTCCCCCCCTCGCTCGCCGCCGATCGGAGACGACGGGGGGGGGGGGGCAGGGCAGCATCTCGAAAATGAAAAGGCGGCGAGGAGGAGGAGGAGGGAGGAGGAGGAGGAGGAGGAGGAGGAGGAGGAGGAGGAGGAGAAGGAGGAGGAGAATGAGGAGGAGGAGGTGGAGGAGGAGGATGGGGAGGAGGGGAGGAGGGTGAGCACAACCTCCGGAGATGCGCGCAGATGTCCGGGATCAGCGCGGGCCCCCCCCCCCCCTTGCGGCGCCGTGGCGCAGCTGCACGGGCCCTGGGAGTCGAACGAGCGCCGCCTGCTGCAGCTGAAGCAGAGGTCCCCCCTCGAAGTCCGAGGAACACAATTCTTGAACAACAGAAGGACGGAATGCGCATGCACTTTCGGAGGTACTAGCAGATGTCTCGGATCGGAACTGGAACATATATACATATATTTACATACATGTGTGCATACATACATACATGCATACATGCATACAAACATACATGCATACATAAGTACATACATACATACATACATACATACATACATACATACATACATACATACATACATACATACAAACATACAAACATACAAACATACAAACATACATACAAGCATACATACATACATACATACATACATACATGCATGCATACATACATACATACATACGAACATACATACATAACTACATACATACATACATACATACACACACATACATACATACATACATACATACATACATACATACATACATACGTACGTACGTACATACATTCATACATTCATACATAAATACATACATACATACATACATACATACATACATACGTATACACATACATATATGCATATGCACATACATACATATATACATACATGCATACATGCATACATACCTACATACATACATAAGTACATGCATACATACATGCATACAGACCGACAGGCAGACAATCAGACAGGCAGACAGCCATACATACAGACATACATACACGCATCCATACTTCCATCATCCATGTTTGCATACATTCATACATACATGCGTCCATGCATCCATACATCCATACGTACATCCATGCATACATGCAGGCATACGTACATGCATACCCATATCAACACACATACACATATGTAACGTACATATACACGAGATGCGCAATGAGTACACAGAGCAAACATGTACAATGATCAATAATCACGGTGGCCCGCCGCGTGGAGTGCACGGTCATCTCAAACGGTGAGCATACATCGGGCGCAATGGGCCCCGTAGGACATTCCAAGGGAGTGCGGCACCCATGTAGCGTGCCATTGGCAGCGCCATGAGGCTGCGCAATGTGCTGCGCCATCCATGGGTTTCACCATCTGATTCGCAATCGAAGGACCCCTGACCTTTTGAGAGGTGACCTAAGCTAGGAGACCCAAACAGTGGGGATAGGGTTTTTGGTTGTAGATGGTCAACGAAGTCATCAATGCCTCTGATGGGAAGCCTGGGACACAGCTTACGCTACGTCTTCATCGTCTTACTAAGGTTAGGGCTTATATATTTCTCAACGACCACTGGTTGAATAATCCATGGGTTGCGCCATGCTCCGTCCGCGCGTTGCCCCACAAGTTGCGCAACCGGCGCCCGAGGACAAAACGGCCCGCGTTGGTTGCGGCATGGGTCGCACGCTCAGCGCCTGAGAGTAGAAGGGCCTGCTGTGGGTTGTGCTATAGGTCGCGCGCGCGGCGGCACAGAATAAAACGTCCTTTCAGTTGCGCCATACATTGCGCACCTGGTGGCACAGAAGAAAACGGGCTGCTATTGTTTGCGCCGTGGACTGCGCACTCGGCGGCCCAGAGCAAAACTGCCTGCAAGTGATTGCGCCATGGGTTGGGTAATCAACGCCCGGGCATAGAACGATCGCCTCACGAGCGCGACTACTCCAGTCATCAGTCCAGTCCTCCCGGTGACAGAACGTGAACACACAACAGCAGCGCCGTATAACACACAACACGACCAGACGCAAATACATGAAATCAGTGGCTGACGTGAGGGCGCATACTCCGACGCAGTGCGCGTCGTTTCACCAATGGGGCTCACCTGGGGCAAAATCACTGGCCTCACCCGGGACGCTTCCCCGCCGCCTCTCCCCCCAATCTCCTCCCTCCCCTCCCGCCCGCGAGGGCCGGGCGGCGCGTGCTGGAGCCCACCTGGCCAGCAGCCAGAGGCAACCCCACTCCAGGGTTAGGTCGGGCATGTCCTCCCACAGGCGGATTCTGGGAGAAATTCAAATACACAGTCCAACAATATTCAAAACTAGTGAAACAAAACGAAACATCGTTCCCAGACTGAATTTTCAATAAAAACCTAATCTCAAATACTCTTCCTGTAGAGGGACATGCCCGACTTAGTTCCAAGTTCCCTCCGCACCCCTCGGCGGCGAAGGGCCGCTGAGTGGAGGGCCGCGCCGCGCCGATGGCACCAGAGCCCGCAGCATCGAGTACTCCAGACTTCGTAATAAAAGGGAGGGGGTCTGGACCCTCCAAGACAAGCCATTTCAGACCTCCCCCGTGGGAGAACCCTCCAAAACATCGTCCCCAGACCCCCCAGGCCCTCCAAGATAGCCTAGAGGAGACCCCCCCCCGAAATGAGACCCCCCTCCCTTTATTACGAAATCTGGAGTAGCGAGCAGGAGGCGGCAGGAGCACCGGGACGCACCTCTTTTGGGACCCTGCCGCCGGCGGCCGCCGCGTCCCCCAAAATCGCGCGGCGCGCCGCGCAGAGGGCGGTCTCGGGGAGACTCCGCGGGGCGCGAGGGCGGCGAGGTCCGGCGTCCGGCGATCTCGGGCGCGGCCGCGACGGACGGGCGCAGGCTCAAGACCACCCGAGTCGCTGAGCGATGCACGGCTCCCCTTGTCCCTCTGCTCCCCCGCCTCGTCCTCTTCCTCGTCCGTCTCCTCGTCCGTCTCCTCCTCTTCCTCCTCCTCCTGCTCCTCCTCCTCCTCCTCCTCCTCCTCCTCCTCCTCCTGCTCCTCCTCCTCCTCCTCCCTCCCCCTCCCGCTCACCGATCATGCCCCCTGGCCCCCAGGTCCGTGGTCCGCGACCCTTGGCCCCCACCCCCTGGTCCATGCTCTCCCCCTGCCCTCCCTCTCGCCCTCTCCTTCTTCCCCCTCCACAACGCTACCCTCCTGCCCTGGTCACGCGCCATCGTGCTCCCGCCCCTCCGCGTCTTGTACTGTTTCCAACATGTGAAATGCCGCGTGGTTTTGCATGCCGTCGGAAAAAGTTCCCAACGAAGAGAAAGAAAAATCCCGCTTAAACCCTGGCCTCCTTTCGGGATCAACGCTTTGCTCCCGTCGTCGTTCAGAATGGCACTCTCGCCCCAGCGCGGGCCGCATTTCTGAATCCGATGTCTTCTTCGTCGTTGTCGCTACCTTCCTTTCCTCTCCTGCATCTTCCCCAGGTCTTTCTGCTTCTCCCGCTGCTCATTTTCCTGCCCCTGCTCATGTTCTTCATTCCTCGTCATACTCCTCTCTTCATCTTCTTCCTGATCATCCTCCTGCCAGTAGACCAAACCACTGCGGATCATCAGGGATAGAAGCGAGGGGTGGCGAAATCTGAGCGCATGACAACCTAGTTCGCACAGAGGTCGTGTTCCAGCGTTTTGGATGCTTAAGGCAACTTCCGATGGCGAACGCGTGGCCTTCTCACGCCACACACGCTCGTAACTTACACGCCTCTGCACTGATATCTGCCGATGCCATACGCCTGCCCAAACAGCTGGGTGTCCCGAAACGACGTGGCGACAGGCCGTGCGGTGCCCTCGCAATCCCGAGGCCCTCACCGCACGGTCCGTCACGGCACGGCTTTGGGACACGGGAGGCCCCCATCGCCCCAGACGTCCTCGGAGGACGACCCGAGTCCCAAAACAGTACGATCACCCCGAACCCACACTGACTCAGCGCACGGTGTGGTCACCGCTCTGTTCGGGGGCCCCCGACGCGTGCGTCCAGATCTCGAAGGTGCCCCCCTGGCGGGATCGCCGGCCCCGCGACCTCTGCGAGGGGAGCAGCGAGGCCGCGCCGCGGCGCTGCAGGGCCGCTCACGCCGCCTCTACAGCCTCTTGGGCCAGTTCGCGCGCTCGTCCAACTTCGGGATCATGTCCCGCAGCGCCGCTGGCAGCTCCACCACCTCCTCTAGTGCACAGCGCACGACCAGTGCCCCGGCGTCGTCCAGCGCGCCCGGCACGTCGAGATTGACCTCGGGCCGAAGCCCGGGCGAGCAGCACCCCCGCCCTGCTCCTGGTGCCACTCGCCCTGACAGTCTGACCCAGGCAAGGAGAACATCTCTCAAGAACATGAGACCCTCCGCTGGCCAGGACACATAGAACATCCAAGGGTGCCCTCCCCAGGATGCACGAGAACGTCCAACAGACTAGAAGAACATTAGGGTGGCCCTCCCGAGCCGACATAGATCTTATACTTTGGTCCGGCTGTAGTCCTTATCCTTCTGCTCCAGATCCGCCTCCTCCTTCGCCCCCGGCTCTCACCACCTATCCTTCGCCTCCGGCTCCTGTGCCGTCCCGCTGCGCTCCTCTTCCTTCTCGTCCCAATCCCGCCAATTGTTTTCCACCCAGGCATCCTCCTCCTCGTGCTTCTCCCTGCCCCCTCTTTTTCTTGGGCATGCTAGAGGGCCTCGAGGACCATCTGCCTTCTCCCTCTCACTCTCCTCATGCTTCTCCCTGCTTCTCCTTCTGACTCCTGTCTCACGGTTCCCTCCGTCCTCCCTGTACAGTTGAAGATATCCCGCCCCCTCCGCGAATTGTTTCCACACACAAGAATTCAACATCTGGTTGTTCTGACGCCTTTTGTAATCCGATTGTGTTCGGTGTTTCAGATGGTGCTCCTGCTGCAGAATGGGCCTCATTTTCGGATCGGCGCTCTGCTCCCGTTGTGCAGAATGGCGCTCTCGCCCCAGCGCGGGCAACTTCTCTGGATTCAACCCTTGCTTCAGTGTGGTCCCCCGTCATTTCCCCTCCTCCGCCTTCCCTGGTCCTCCTGCTCCCTCTACTCCTTCAACTCCACTTGCTGCTGCTGCTGTTCGAATCCATGTTTATCGCTGATGCCCCCCTCCTTTCCCTCCTCCGCCTTCCCCTGTGGTCCTCCTGCTCATCCCGGTCCTTCCGCTTCAGTTCCTGCTGCTGTTCGTCCTCGTCCTTCTCCACCCGCTCCTTGTCCTGCTCCGCCGCCACCTCGTCCTCCAATGCACGCAGCTTTCCTCGTTGCCGATTGCGCAAAACGCGAAGCAGTCTTTCTGTGGGAGTCGCAGGTCGGCCATGACACGCGTCCGCAGAGGAAGAGAAATCAGCGCCATGGAAAGGGATGGGAAGCAGGGATACAGTCGGAGCGTTGACCCAAGGAACCCGAAATAAGGAACGAGGCCCCTTTCATCCACAAGTTGAACTTCGATTTCCCATTGAAGACCAAAGGAAAACCCAAGGCAAACTGTAAAACAATCAAGGAACCCCGAGCCCCTCCCCAACGAAAAGGGTTCCTTCTCCAGCGCCCCGACTGTAGGGTGTCAGATGAGGCGCGAGCGCACCCTGCCTGGCTCTTCCTCAACTCTCCAAACACCCTCGTCTCTCCAGTGCCGGATCCTCCTGCTCCTCCTCCTCCTCCTCCTCCTCCTCTCTTACCTCCCCGATCCTTGCGATCCTCCCTGGCCTCTGCTCCACAGTCCCTGCGCTCTCGCTCCCCCCCCGCCCGACTGCGTCCCCTCCCTCTCCGCACCCGCCGTATCCTCACACTGTATTCTTCTGTCCTCACTCCTCCATCTCGCCAACGCTCGGACGTCCATTTCCAGTGTTTTTGCTCGATGGTCCAGGATGGTCCTCGATGTTTCTCGCCGAGAAACAATGCACACGTCCGAGCGATGCCAGGTCCTCACCATCCATGATCCCGAAGCGTGCAATCTAAAATAACTTCACGGATGGAGGGCGGGTCGCTTTCAACATGTGTTTCTTGCCGCAAAGTCTGGACAACATGTGTTTTCAGCATGTTGTGCAGACATGTTTTCGTGTTCAACATGTTTTTCAACATAGAGCGCCGCGCACATTCGTCTTCAAAACTTGCAAAGGCTTCACGGACCGAGGGCGGGTTGTTTTTCGGCACGTGGCTCTCGCCCGAGCGCCGCGCACATTCGCCATCAGAAGTGTGCAAGAGCTTCACGGATGGAGGGCGACTTCTTTTCAAACTGTTGCTCTTGCGATAGCGCCGCGCACAGTCGTCTTGACAGCTTACAGCAGTGTGAGGGCTTAGTATGGTTGAGTGACGCCCCAAACATGGTTGTTGGCACGACTTAGGCTTATCAGAGCGCGACAGTCATGCTGATACGGGGTGTTGACGTCCCAAGAACTATGCTTCGGCACGAAGTACGATCGTCAGGTCGCAACAGTAAAGTTGATTCGCGGCGTTCAAGTCCCAGGAAAGGTGCTTTAGAATGGTTCAAGACTATCCAATGGTTGTCTTCCAACGGGACCCTACCAGCAGTTGAACCAATTCCTGATAGGAGACTGTGACGAGGGAACTTGGAGAGGACGGTTTACTGCAACATGTGTTGATAAGTCTTGGGCTTGCACTAGTCCTCCTCCTCCTCCTCCTCATTCTCTGGCTCCTCCTCCTCCTCCTCCTCCTCCTCCTCCTCCCCATGCTCCTCGCCCTCCCACTCCCCATCCCCATCCTCGAATCTCGCCTCCTCACCCTTCCCTGACCCCTGCTCTCTACCCCGTGCCCTCCACACCCTGCTCTCTGATACCCCCTCCCTCCCTGCACTTCCCCACTCCTTCCGCTCCCTCGCCCAATTGTCCCCAATCGGTCCCCCCCCATGCCACATATCACCCCCACCCCTCTCCCCGCCGAGCCTCCAGACCCCCACCCTCTGCGTCCCACCCCCTTTTTTGCGTTGAACAAACGCTGGCTGGCGTGAGCCGTCGCGTCTTGCTGGCCGCTAAACGAGAGCAAAAACATAGGCACGCAGCGCTCGATCAACTTCACCGATACGCAACCAGTGCGCACACGATGGACGGGAAGAGAAGCCCACTTGGGTACAGAGGAGTGCACAATGGCAAGGATGCCCCAGGACCTCCCACTCACCAAACTCTGTACTCCTCTTACTCTCGACCCTCCCAACGAGCAGGTGTGGTCCTCGCCGAGGGCACTCAGTGCACAAGGCCTATGTTACGATGCCCTGATACCTCCCCTCCCCTCCTGCAGGGGAACAAACAATGACATAAGCATGCGAACTCGGAGCTCCGAACGGATTTCCTGGCTCGGAAATGATGCTTCCCCCTGTGATACCTCCCCCGCTCCCTCGCCGCCTCCCTCCAGGGAGCACTTGGAGCCCCCGTCCGGGTCCCCATCGTCGGCGGTGGGGTCGTCGACGTCGTCGGCGGCGGCGTCGTCGTCGGCGCGGGCGGCGGCGCGTCGGCTGAGGCGTCGTCTGTAGACGGGGGAGGGGTCAAACCTGAATCGGAAACGATACAGTGGAGGCCACTGCACAAGAAAACTTCCACGAGAAATCCAACCCTGAGACCCCAGGACGCCCACTGATTTTTGGCGTGGGAGCGTCCCGCTCTCAATCGCAAAAACATCGACACCCAAGAAACCCAGGGCACCCTGGAGGCGAGCAAGGCATTTCTTGGCGTGGGCCTCCACCGTCACTCCGGGTGGGCGCCATCCACGCACGAGAGGACGAGCAGCCGCTGCGGGCCGCCCCGGACGGCGCGCCGGGTCGACGAGGGGCCCCAGGACGGTCCAAGACGGCGCAGGACGGGCCCCAGACAGCCCAAACGATGAACCAAGAAAGGACCCTTAACCCTTTGGGTGGAACCTGCATCCCTCGCCGCCGCCTCCCTCCTCCTCCTCCTCCTCCTCCTCCTCCTCCTCCTCCTCCTCCTCCCTCCTCCTCCTCCTCCTCCTCCTCCTCCTCCTCCTCCTCCTCCTCCTCCTCTCCTCCTCCTCTCCTCCTCCTCCTCCTCCTCCTCCTCCTCCTCATTCCTCCTCCTCCCTCCTCCTCCTCCCTCCTCCTCCTCCTCCTCCTCCTCCTCCTCCTCCTCCTCCTCGCTCCCTCGCCGCATCCCTCCCGGGTCCGCTCGCGCCCCCCGCCCCGGGCCTGCAGCCACCTGTCCGCCGCCACGTCCTGCTCCGGCGTGCTGCGCCCCTCGGGGGGGGGGGGAGAAGGGGGCAGGTCGCAGCGGGGATGCCGCGCGGACCCGTCCCGCCACGGGGCCCTCCTCCTCCTCCTCCTCCTCCTCCTCCTCCTCCTCCTCGCCCAGTCTCTCTCTCTGTGTCTCCCTTTCTCTCTCCCCCTGTCTCTCTATCTCTCTGTGGCTCTGCCTCGGTCTTCTATTTCTCTGTCTCCGTCTCTCTCTCTCTCTCTCGCTCTCTCTCTCTCTCTCTCTCTCTCTCTTCGACTGGTTGTGTTGCTCTCTCTCTCTCGCTCTCTCACTCCTGCCTGCCGCCTCTCCGCGCCCCCTCCTCCAGCCACTGCTCCTGCTCTCCAGGAAGGGGAGGGAGAAGGGACGCAGGACGCAGCACACGACGTGCAGGCAGCGAGTCGCGAGCACGCCAGGGCAGAGGAGGGAGAAAGGAGAGAGGAGGTGGGGAAACCAAGAGGCACCGATGCAACCACTCCCCGGACCTCTCCCGGGGTGCAATCCGACCAAGATTCCGAGGCGAATCCGGCGGTGGCGACGAGCGCCTCCCGCCCCAGGAGGCCCGAGGAATGGGGAGGCGAAGGGCCGCGGGAGGGGCAATTGCCTTCTCCTCCTCTGGGGAGGCAGGGAGGGAGGCAGGGGGGGAGTGAGGACGGGGAGGCCGGGGAGGACGCGCCACCGCGCCCCGGAGGGGGCCCGTCTGCCCCCCCCCCTGGGGCGCGCCGCCGACGGGAACGCCCTCCGGCCGTCCGGGGCCTCTCCCGGCGGAGCGGCGCAGAGGCACCCCCCCAGGGAGCGGCAGGCGCTCCTCCTCCTCCTCCCTCCTCCCTCCCTGCCTCCCTGCCTCCTCTGGGGAGGCAGGGGGGGAGGGAGGACGAGGAGGGGAACGACGAGGCGGAGGCACGGCAGGCGCAGCGCTCCGAGGAAGGAGCCGCGGAAGCGCGGAAACGCGGCAGCGCGGGCGCGCGCGCCCACCGCTCATCCTGGCGGCCGCCGCCCGGCCTCCCACTCGACAGGAGTCCACGCGCGCTCCTCCTCCTCCTCCTCCTCCTCCTCCTCCTCCTCCTCAGCTTCTTCCTCCTCCTTCTCCTCCTCCTCCTCTTCTTCTTCTTCTTCTCCTCCTCCTCCTCCTCGTCCTTTTTCTCCTCCTCCGACTTCTCCTCCTCCTCCTCCTCCTCCTCCTCCTCCTCCTCTCTTTTTCTCCTCCTCATTATCCTTCTTACCACCCGTCCTCCTCCCCGCGGGGTCCTCGGCCACGAAGCTCTTCGAGAAGCAGGTGCCCACGGAGAGCCCCACCTGGGCGGAAGGCTGAGGGATGAAGGGGCCTCCTCCTCCTCCTGCTCCTGCTCCTGGTCCTGCTCCTGCTCCTGCTTCTGCTCCTGCTCCTCCTCCTCCTCCACCTCCTCCTCATCCTCCTCCTCTTGGGGGGGGGGGACGGCGACGGCGGAGAAGGAGGACGAGGGACGGCGACGCGGAGAGATAATTAGGGAGCCCACAAAGAACACGACCCCTCGATCCGCGAGACCGGCCGCGTTATACGAACATCTGCGCAATGCGTACTCTCGAAACCAACGCGGATTCATGTACGTGTACGTCCTTCTGTCGCTCCTGAAGAGAGACGGGAGAGGAGGGGAGGCAGGCGGAGGAGGAGAGGGGTGGAGGAGGAGACCGAGGAGGGAGACGAGGGAGGAGGAGGGAGACAGGGGCGAGGAAGGACGGAGGAGGAGAGCGTCATGAGGAGGGGCAGGAGGAAGACGGCGAGGGGCAACGGGGCCCGGGCCCCGGGAGTTCTGTTGAGAGAGCCCCGGGGGCCGGGGAGCGGGCCCCCGTGGAAGGCCGAGGACGGCGAGAAGCCTCTGACCGCCCCCACGCAGGTCCCCCTCTGCCTCATGCAGGGGGGCCTACCCTCCTCATCCTCTTCCTCCTCCTCCTCCTCCTCCTCCTCCTCCTCTTCCTCCTCCTCCTCCTCCTCCTCTTCCTCCTCCGCATCCTCCTCCTCCTGGATGATGATCCTCCTCCTCCTCCTCCTCCTTCTCCTCCTCCTCCTCCTCATCATCATCATCATCATCATCAGCATCATCATCACCGTCAGCAGCATCAGCATCAGCATCATCATCAGCATCAGCATCAGCATCAGCATCATCAGCAGCATCAGCATCAGCATCAGCATCAGCATCAGCATCAGCATCAGCATCAGCATCAGCATCCTCCTCATCATCATCATCACCACCACCACCACCATCACCACCACCACCACCACCACCACAACCACCACCACCACACCACCACCACCACCACCGCCACCACCACCACCACCACCACCACCATCATCATCATCATCATCATCATCATCATCATCATCATCATCATCATCATCATCATCATCATCGTCATCATCATCATCATCATCATCATCATCATCTTCATCTTCATCATCATCATCATCATCATCCTCATCATCAGTTTCATCATAATCAGTTTCATCATCATCAGCATCAGCAGCATCATCATCATCATCATCATCATCAGCAGCAGCTGCATCAGCAGCATCATCAGCATCATCATCAGCAGCAGCATCATCATCATCATCATCATCATCATCATCATCAGCATCATCATCATCATCATCATCATCATCATCATCATCATCATCATCATCATCATCATCATCATCATCATAATCATCATCATCGTCATCATCATCATCATCATCATCATCATCATCATCATCAACATCATCGTCCTCGTTCTCTTTCTTTCTCCTCCTCCTCCTCCTCAGGGGCCGCTCTCCTCGACGATCCTCCAGCTGGATCTGGGTCCTCCGCCTGCTGCGACCGCCTCTTGCATCCTCGGGCCGTCGGCGGAGAGGAGCGCCCGACGTCTCCCGCCGAAGCACGGCCCCGCCTGGAGCTTCATGGTCGGCACGGGGCAGCGGAAGTGCAGCCCGCAGAGCTCCGGGTGACCCCCGGGCCGAAGCTCGAGATACATGTCGCCTCCATGGGGGAGGGGGCGGGGGGGGGGGGGGAACACGAGGAAGAGGAGGAGGGTCGAGGTTCCACTGTCGAGGAGGAAGATCAACATGGGATCGAGGAGGGTGGTATGAGGAGGATCGAGGAGGGGAAGATGGAAGATCGAGGAGGAGGGCGGTCGTGGGAGGAGGATTGAAGGAGCGGGGGGAAACAGGAGGAAGAAGAGGAGGGTCGATGTTCATTTATCGAGGAGGAGGATGACAAGGGGGATCGAGGAGGGTCGTGGGAGGAAGATCGAGGGGGGGGAAGAAGCGAGAACAGGACGGGCGTCGATGTCGCCTGGTGCGACGGGGCGCTTCTGTTGGTCCTGCGAGGGGGCACATGCTCCATATTCCTCCACGGTTTGCCTCAGCTCGGTCTTCAAAGGGAGGAGGTGGGGTGCGCGTGAGCAGCAGCATGAAGGTAGCATAATTCAACGTGCGGCCGCAGACTCTGTCTTCAAACTTTTGACGAGCGCGTCGAAAACTCGTGCGGCCCTGCCGCTGTGCAGGAAGGCTCGCCGGCGCCACTCGGCGCTCATGGCCCTCAGAGGGGAAGGATCCAGGAAGCGGACCAAGGTTCGATGAACGGAGGAGGAGGAGGGGAGCAGAGGGAGGAGGGGATCGAGGAGAAAGATCGAACCTCTATGATCGTGTGTTTTGACGTCTGGGGCCCGGCTGGGGCCTCCTTGAAGCTTTTCGTCGGCACGGCTGGACTCCCCAAGAGTTCTGGCCAAAACGCGCCCTTGACAAGTTGCGCTCATTGGCTGCGCAATATGTGACAATTGGCACATCTGGGTGTCTGATTCGTGTCTCAAGGACTCAATCTGCCCACCCCCGCTCGCGGGGAGTACGTGGCCTCGAGGATGCCCACGATACCATCTAACCTCGCCAAGCGCTTGGCTCCGACACGCCGAGGAGTCGTCAAAGACGACCAAGCTGGCCTCAAGACTGCCCATGAGGCCTCACCCCCCCCCTAGAGAGGCTCCAAGACGACCCCCTAAAGGGCCTCAAGAAGCAAGAAACGTCCAAATCATTGGGGGAACATGTATGTTTTAAGCGTATTCCTATGTTTGGTCTTAACATCGCCCAAGACGGCTCAAGATATACCCAGGATCGCTCCAAAACGACCCAAGAGGCGCCCAAGAAGGCCGAAGAGAGCCCATCAGGGCCCCAAGGGGGGGCCAGGAGAGGAAACTCGAACTGACATACCGAGCTCTCCGCCACAAGAGGACCCTCGAGACCGCCAGCACGCGCCCACGAAACTCCCGAGAAGCCCAGAGGGGTCCCACGAGGCCCAGAGGAGGTCCCAAGAGGGTCCCCAAGATGCACCCAAAGGCCTCTCTCGTAGACTTCATGCCTCTTTTGAGGGTCGGCGGATGGCTTCAGCGTCTCGAGTACCCTTCCTCCTTGGGCACTTCTGGGTTCCGCTGCTTGTGTCAGCTGTTCGCAGACATACGTTGGACACACGCCCCAAAGAAATATTAGGTGTCAACGGATGCGCCC